AGTCAAATATGCAGTTAGTCAAACCTGCATAAAACAATACTAACAAATGGAAAAGGTACACGTGTAACTAATAGACTAATACAAATAGAATAGAAATGAGATAAGAGGTGAGTTTAGCAAACCATTGCCTACTAGCCTGCTTCAACCCATATAAAGATTTAATAGGCTTACACACTTGATTAGGTTTGTTAATATTTAGGCTAGGAGGAGGAATCATATAAATTTTTTCATTGAGATCTCCATGCAAGAAGGCGTTGTCAACATCTAATTGGTGTGAATGCCATTGTTTGATAACAACAAGAGTCAAGAGAAGCCTTATAGTGGTTAATTTAGCCACTGGAGAAAATGTGTCGAGAAAGTCAATTCCTTCAAGTTGTGTATATCCCTTTGCCATAAGTCAACTCTTGTATTTTTCTATTGTTCCATTAGCTTTGTGCTTGATTTTATATATCCATTTGCACCTAATAGGAGTTTTATTAGGTGATAAGTAAGTTAAATACCAAGTATCATTATTTTAAAATGCTTTAATTTCTTTCTTCATATCAGTAATCCATTTTGGGTTTTGACATGCTTCCATATAAGATTGACACTCATTGTTAGAAGAAATCGTAAGAGTATATTATAATTATTTTTTAGACAGATTATTATAGTAAACAACGTAAGATATAGGATAAATATTTTATGTGATTTAGAATTATTAAAATTATTGACTCGAAGATGGTAGTCTTTTAGGAAGCTTGGTATTTTCCTTACTCAATGCGTAAGATTTGCATCTCTTCCAACTTGCTTTTCATTACTTCTTTTGTCAATGTCTTCCAAATCTTCTCTACTGGGAGAGTTGTTTGTCTCATTTGTCACAAAAATTTCATTCCCATTGTATCTTTTGTCAATGTCTTTCAAATCCTCTTTGTAATCAATTTCTTTTTTATTTGGATAGTTATTTGTCTTATTTATGACAACTTTTTCATTTTCATAGGTATTATTTCTAATATGTTCAATATAATTATTTTTAGTGTGATAAAGAGATTTAAGAAAAAAATTAAAATCATGTTCAATTTTCTTATTATTTATCTCAACAACAATATCATATTTTTTATAAGGAAATATATTTTCATAAAAGATAACATTTATGTTTATAAAAATCTCCTTGTTTTAACATCAAGAACAATATAGCCTTGAGTTTCATATTTATAACCAATAAAACACACTTTCTAGATCTAAGCTCAAATTTGGTCCTATTATTTTTTAAAGTAGAGGCAAAACACAAACACCCATAAACCTTAAGATTAAGATAAGTAAATGACCTTTTATATAACATCTCATATGGAGTTTTACCTTTAAGAACAATAGAGGAAAGTTTATTTATAAGTTGAATAGAATGTGCAACAACATAAGACCAATAAGCTTTAAGCATTCCTAATTGAAAAAGAAGACTACAAGTAATATTTAATATATGTTGATGTTTTCTTTCAATAATGAAATTTTGTTGAGGGATCTCCACACAAATTTTTTGATGAATAATGCCAAATTTGTCATATAATTCAAAAAACTCAAATTTCTTTCCATTATCTGATCTAGCAATTTTGATATTGCAATTAAATTGATTTTTATCACAAAATTAATTAAAAGAGGTCTAGCTTCAGATTTTTTTTTTCATAAGAAAAATTTATGTATGTCGTCTAGAATAATCATCAATTATAGTTAAAAAATATCTATGCCCATGAACATAAGCAATAGAAATAGTACCATATATGTCAACATGAATCAGGTAAAAAATATTCAAATAAACAATATTACTAAGTTGAAAAGGTGATTTATGTTGTTTGGCATAATGACAGATATCAAAGGCTCCTTTATAGGTAGAACATATGTAAGGAAAACTTTTACACATGTGCTTAATGACTTTATTAGTAGGATGTCCTAATCTAGAATGCCATAGGTCTATATTAGTCTTATTACAGTTCAAAACAATGTTAGCCAAGTAATAATTATTTTCAGGTATGATAGTAAACTCATGAAGATAGTATAATCTTTTGCTCAATTTAATTTTTCCAATCGTCTTGGATGTAATATTATCTTGAATCTGACAATTCTCACAAGAAAAAAATAGCCTGCAATTTAAATCTTTAATCAACCTTTGAACAAATATTACACTAAAAGTAAATTATGGAATATAGAGAACATCAAAGATGATAAAATCTTTAGAAAAATGAATGTTCTTGCATAGTAAGTTGTGACATGAATTATTAGGAAGATTTACACAAACAAGTTTGATTTTATAAAAGATAACAAAGTGTTCTATAATATGAGTAACATGATCCATAGCTCCAATGTCTAGGATCCAAGAAACCTTACCAGTTTTTGTTTTAGCTGTAAGGAAACCTTCGTCATGTTTTTGTATGTGATTGATACTGTGACGAAAATCTTGCAAAAGTTTAAAGAGTCCTTGAACTTGTTTTTAGAGTGAAAAAGTTGCTTTCTTCCTTTAATTCTTGATTTGATATTTTCAATGATGATAAAATTTTTTGAAAAATGAATGGTTCTTGCATAGTAAGTTGTGACACGAATTATTAGGAAGATTCACACAAACAAGTTTGATTTTATATAAGGTAACAAAGTGTTCTTTAATATGAGTAACATGATTTGTAGCTCCAATGTCTAGGATCCAAGAAACCTTATTAGTTTTCATTTTAGCTGTAAGGAAACCTTTGTCATGTTTTTGTATGTGATTGTAAAAGTTTTAGGAGTCCATTAACTTGTTTTTGGAGTGAAAACATTGTTTTCTTCCTTTGATTCTTGATTTGATATCTACAAAGAGTCATTCTTCACATTCAAATTACATAATTGTTGAATACCTTTATCTTGATTGTTGTCCAGATGTTCGCTTTTCTGTTTGTACCAAGGTGGATTTCCATGCTTGCAATAGTATTCATCAATCGTATGGTTCAATTTATGATAATAAGACCATTTCCTCTCCCTTGTCAATGCCAATAATTATCTCTTCTTTGCCCCCACAAAGAATTACCTCTTCCTCGAGGTCACCAAGTATTTTGTTGTTTTTTAGTAGAAACTTTCATTATTTTATTGTTAGAATACTTCTAATGAGTTGTCTCTTTTGTTGGATGACAAGAGAAAAAACTTTGTTTATATTAGAGAGGGGATCCATAAGAAGGATTTGAGTTTTAATGGTATTATATATTTCTCATAATCATTTTAAAAAATACATGACTCATTCAGAATATCTATATTTGACAGAGAATTTACTTAAAGCATAATTACAAGGCATATTACAAATACAACTTGGTATAGGTCTTAGAGACTCCAATTCTTCCTAAAGAATTTTAAGATAAGTAAAAAAATTGAGTTATATTTCTCTTACCTTATTTGATGGAATGAACTTCTTGGAGTAAATCAGAAATCCTAAAATGATCACCTTTAGAGAACCTTTCCTTTAAATCTTCCAATAGGTTCTTGACAACATCAATGTAGATGGTACTTTCTACAATTTGTGGGGACAGACTCCTAGTGATCCGAGAGAGAACCATGACATTGCACATTTCTCAAGCTTCAAAAGTTTAATCATTTCACTAAGAAATCTCTATACTTCCATCATCAATAAAATTTAATTTGTTCTTGGAAAGTAGATCACACCGCTTGTTCCTACTTCAAGATTGATAATTTGTCTCACTGAGAGAAGGTGAAATAAGAATAAGGCATGAATTTCTTCAAGATGCAAATAATAAAGGTTGAAAGGATTCAAACAATAATCCATAGTGTCTTGTGTTCTTGTCATAGATGACTCAATGAAAAAGAAATGAAAGAAAAAACAAGAAATGAAGAAACAATCAAGAAAGGTTACAACATAAGCATAATAGACATTAACACTTTGATATCATAACAAATATGGTATTTTCTCAAAATAAGATTGACCATGACAGAGAGCACGCACCAAACTAGAGAAAGAAAAAAAAAGAAACAAGCACAAGTATGAACATAGAATTTTTTTTTTTTTTTTTACAAAATAGATCCTATTTATAGGATTTCTGAAACCTAAAAAAAAAAAATAAGAGAACAAAATTCATTAACCTAAAAACCTTTACACGTAGTACCTTTTACAAACTAAACAAACATAAACTACCTACTTATTTTTACCCTTACATATAATTAATAATTACTAATTAGAAGTATTTTTTTAATCATATGTTTTCTTAAAAGATATCAATATTATTATTTTATTTGATTGGTTTTTAAGTAACTAATATTATTTCAGCTTCAAACTTAAAAAAAATATTAACATAATAGGTTTATTTTTCACATATATTATACAAATGTAATACTTAATTCAGACTTAAATTTTATCAGTATTCAATTACAATCTCAGTTGTAGAAAAATGTTCTTCTTTTCTGTAATTGAAAGGTGCAGGGAGAGATTATACAGGTGCAGGAAACAATTGTGTTAGAGCCCACCAGCAACATGGGTTTTTCTTTTAGTTTCTCTCTGCACTAAAGGCCCATTTCCTTAACTATTTGGGAGAAGAGTGAGTAACCATCATACTAGCTAGATTAAGGAGTATCATATAAACATTTTTTTCCACCAAAATTGTTTTCATAAAAATATACAAACAATTTTTTTATCAAATTAAACTGATTCATGAATTTCATGATTTAAACTAAAGAACTTAAATTAAATCCAATTATTTTGGTTAATTGTTTTATTTTATTTTGAAACCCAATTATACAATATTCAGTCTATATATAATAATAATAACTATTTATTAAAACATACCATAAACAAAAAAGAGGAAATAAAAAAGAATATAAAATATTTTAATACATTTTTTACAATAATTATCTAAACTATTGTTTTTTAAATGGTGAGGAACCTAATGGTTTTTGGGTTACAAAGCCCAAAAAAAGAAAAAGAGGGAACAGTAATGAATGGATTTGAAGCAGAGTCTAACAGTGTTAGCAATGGCATGCATGCATGAATGAATAATCAGTCAAAACACGGCAACACTGAGTGTACGCCACCCTGCTTCCTCTGACTGCATTGCATGCATCTCATCTCAGTATTCACATTTCCATAACTTTCTCTTCTCTTTACTTTTTCATTTTCTTTCCAACTCTATCAATACAATTAAAAAAGAAGGTTTCTCTATCAGAATTATCACTATTGTCCAGAGAAGAAGAGTTACAGACATGACAGGTGTGGCAGACCCTTTGTAAATGGCCAATCTATCCAACAAGGACAAAAAGTCCTTGTTATATTGCTGCTGCACATACACAAGGTTTGGTTTAGTAAGAAAACTAAAAACATAAGAATCATATTTGGAGTTACTATATATAGTTGCAGTTATCTTATATTTGACTTTATGATATATTCATGCATATCTTCTTCATAAGAATCTCTCTTGAAAATGAAAAGAGAAAACCTGAGATCATTGAGGCCAACACAGTCTTCAAGTTTGATGTGGTTGCAGAAGAAATGGAAAGCTTTGGGAAATGCTCCCCAACCAGCTCATCAAGATTTGCTATATTTGGAAACTGGGAAGGGTGGCTTAAGGGCCCACTATGCAAAATTTGAAGGCCCATATTGGCCCCATTATCTTTCCACAATTTTAGGATCCACAAAATTAGCTAAATTTGGCATGTTTTGATTTTACTCCATGTTCTTCGGCCATTCTCTTTCACTCTTACTGCTCAAAACATTCACTTTGTTTGCTAGAAAAAACATAAATAGGTTGAATGAACATACATTAATACAGTGAAAATCAATGAGAATAAAACTTTACATTTTTTTAGTTAAAGAAAAATAGAGAAGAGATATGAAAAAAAAGGACAAGTAAAACTAGTATAACGAATTCTATCTTTATTTCTTAATTATTTTTCTCCCTCCTTTTTCTATCAATAAACCTCTATGTTAACTTTTCGTTCTCTCATCTCAACTCAACTAATAAACTCACCCTAAAGTTTTAACCAACAAATTATTGATAAACAAATGGAGTTGGATTTATCTGCTCCACAATGTTTATTTCTTTTAGATGGAATTAAAAAGGGAGATCTTGTTAAAGGGTGAAAACCTTCTTTATTTCCCATCATCAAATGGTAGATTAATTTTTCCATAGAACTTGTTGATGCATCACTAAATAACCCTACGTTTTTAAAGGGTCTCTTCTCTCCATTCCATTTGAAGTGGTTAACTTTAATGATTTGAAGTCCTTTAGCGTAACAAAGTGTCCTTGTTAAATATGGTAAATAAGATAAGAATTAAACATGGGAATTGGAAACATGGTAATCCGCAGAGCTTTGAATGAAATTGGTCTTTTCCCATAAGCTTTTAGACCATTAGAGGCATGGGAAATAGGACACAATTCCCTGGACTCTTGTAATACTCAAGCCCCCACCCTAAGATAAGATACAATAACCCTATAATTGGAGGTAACAACCACCAAGAGTAACTCAAAACCTATGTATATATATCCTAGTGAGTCCTTGTCAAAATTTGGTTTTGTTTTAGGAATTTACAACAGAACTTGAAGGGATACGTACCTTGATTTGATTTCAATAATTGATGTATTTGTTCTCAACACCAACTAAAGTTCACTTAGGTTTTAGTTTCTACATGGTGCCAACAAGTTTAGGTTTAGACATTCTTGACATATGGCTATGCTATATACTACTATATCTTCAAAAAGTAGGAAGATAAGATTACAATGATGACTTCAAATTTTGGCATTAAGTTGCATGGGGATGGATCATTGACCTTTTATATGAACATCACTTATTTCCAGCATCCAAGGTTATGCACACCATGCCTTTGGTTGACATTCTAATTTAACTAATCAAAATTATATTCATTGTAATTCTATATTTAAGAACCCAGTTACTATCTAACTGAATCTTATACGTTAAACTATTATTTTATGAACAATTGCAAAAAGTTTCATTACTTTAATTACATTAGAAAAATCATTGAAACTATTGCCAATTGGAAGAATATATGAATTGTTCAAATGCTACATTTTCATGTTGCTAATGTTAGGTTATTAGTTGAAATTCATGTAAACAATATTTCTGAATATATGTCTCCTTGTAAAGTTTAAAATTACATGAATTATCTTTTTATTAATTATATTTGTTATAGAGAAAAAATAAATAAAAAGTTTTGCTTAAGAAAACATTAAGATGAGAAAGATATTAACAAAAAAATAATAAAAATTAATGATAATATTGATTTAAATAATCATATCTTAAACTATTTATATATTAGAAAAAAAACTGAATAAATAAAATATCGATGTTGGAGCAAAGTAAGTAAATGGAAATTGTAAAGCATGTGCTTAGATAGAGTGGCCCAGAGTTTCATATTTTAATTAAGTCAGCTTAAAAGGCTAAATAACAATAATTAGCATCGATGGGTATCATTTTCAAATGAAAAAAAAAATAAAAAAAAATAAAAAGCTAAAATACGTGCATATATTTCATTAAAAGTTGGATGCATTGAACATGATCACAATTAAGGGTAACACGTCCAAATCATATAGTGTAGAAAATAGCAGTAACCATAGACCAGAGAGTAAGATAATGAAGAAAGAAAATATTTAACACTTATTATTATAACTTAAATGAAGCATCCAAGTATTCAACTTGTTAAATATATGTTTGGACCAAGTTTTTTATTTACGTAAAATAATTGTTAATGTCTACGTAGCAAGTTGAACCACTCATTCATGGCATTTTATTTTATTTTATTTTATTTTATTTCCGTTGGAAGGTAACAACAAAAGAAAATGGAAGTAGTAGATGGTTCCTGTCGAGTTTTCATGTTGGAGACAATCACTTATGTCAACGTCCAAACGCAATAACGTTTACTTGCGCGCATCATTTTGTTGTTGTGTGGTAGTGTTCAATCTCATTAGTTTTTTTTTACAAGACCTTGGTCAAAAATCCAACCAATTTACATAAATAAGTTACTTTTTTACTTTTTTAAAAAATTCACTAAATTTAATAAAACCACGTTATGGAACGTGATAAAAAAAAGTCGTCTTATATAGCATCACTTCAATTTAAAGAAGAAATTGTATTTTTTATGTTACCTTTTTATTTTAATGAAATCATGCTATTGTAATAAGAATTTTTTAACAAAACTTTCACTTTTAGTTGTTTGAAATTCGTCATAAAGGAGTACAAAATTTAAACAATTGAAAGCACTTATCAAACATAAAAGTTTACATTTTTTAAGATTGATAACCTCTACAGCTTAACCCGCATTTTCCTTATTTAATTTAATGACGTATGCTTTGTGATCTTATTTAGTGAAACTGGTTTAATTATTGTTTATTTATTTTTATTCAATTTGAGTGTCCCATTCAAAAGTTTACTTGTCATAAGTTATTATTTTATGAAAACAAAAACGTAATTTTCTTTTTAAGATGTTGGATAAAAGAGTTCACGTTAAAAAAACAAACAAATCAATTGAATTTTTTATTGAAAAGTACTGAATAAAATAAATAAATAAATATTTAAAAAAGTAAGTATTTTCTCTTAATCAATATAGTCAACCAAGGAAATTTTTAGCCTTTAAAAGCTAAGAAATTCTTAATTTGATTAAATTATAATATATTATTAAAAGAATATAATAAGATTCTACATATTAATTAAACTAGCTTTTCAATTTTATAAAAGAGAAAATTTCAATTTCTATATTTATATCTTCATCTACATTTTTATCCTTAATAACCATTATTCTTTTTATGTAAAAAATCTAAAGTAAGGATTTAGGGAAACCTTGTATTGTGACAACTTGGATGAGACTATTAATTTATATATAAATATTTACTGCAAATTATTGGCATAAAAAAAATAATATTATGGTTTATAGTCAATATTTCTTTCTATTTAACCACGTAGCAACTTACATATTACAATTTAATTTGATTTATGGGAGAATTAAGGCAATTTATAAAAATATTTTTTTATAAAAATTAAACTCGTGACTTTAATTTTAATAATAGTTATTAGATGAAAAAATTATTATAAGAAAAAAACTGACTTATAATCAAAACACAATTGTTTCTATTTAGAAGTATAATGGTTAAAACTTCATTTATATATATAATTACTTCTTAATTATTGTAAAATTTTAAAATAAAAACCTATATATTAAAAAATTATCAATATAAAGAGAGATTTGGTATAAAAATATTTTAATATTCCTAGAAAAGTGTATGAAATGATTTTTTTCTCATTTTGATAAAAGAGAATAAATATATTTTGTGGATATAAAATATTTTCAGAAATTTTAATTAATATTTGTGATAATCATAAAATTATTAAACTTTTGAATGAAAGCTAAATAATGTAAACGTATTATTTTTTTTCACAATTTCATACTACCAATTTTTTTTCTACATTTTGTTGTGGTATTTTTAAACTTAAAACATGAAAAAATGGGTAGAGTTAAAATATATTATTATATCTTGAATTGTAGCTTTCCTGAATAAGGGTGAAAGTCTCTACTGAAAAATATATTTTTATGGTAATTCCATGTATCAATGTATAAAGAATAAACCCTATGATTTTGTGATTCATAGTTGGGTTGGTGACCTAATTTTAACCTCGAACAATAAAATATAAACAATAATACATATATACTAATAAATCTAACAGAAACTATAGATATGTGAAGGACACGACATATATATAGAGAGAGATATAAGAATATTTATTTATTTTAAAAATAAAAGATAAAGAATAAGGATTGTCTCTAACACGTTACACATTTCCTGATTCTAGTTGATTATTTGGCATATGTTACTTTTTTTTTTTTTTTTTTTACATTAATCCTCTATAAACATAATTTGAATTATATTTTACAAAGAGTGTCATTAATAATTTAGAAAGTGTAGTTTTATTTAGAAAGATTATTCAAACAAAGCGATAAGATAGGTTCTATGACATAATAAGAAAAAGAATGACCCTTCTCTTTGTCAAATATTATGACAAAAATGGAAATTTAATTCAAACACGTTTGTTGATTAAAAATTTTGAAATTAATTAGAAGCCCTAGTTTCAAACATGTAAGGGCAATCACATTACTCATTTCTATATAAAAAAAAAAATTATTCATGAGTATGTCTTAATGGAGATTACGGTATTATTATTGACAACAATCATTGAATATAATGTTATTGATTAACTCAACTGAAAGAAGATAAGTTATAATATATTAATATAATTATTTAAATAAATAAATTCACCAAAATTTATTCCTGTAATAACTTGATTTCTGTATGTGTAAATTAACCTGGAAAAAGAATTTTATAATTTTTAGAAAATTTTAATATGTTAGAATTTAATTGTTTTTATTATTTATTTTAAATATTTTATTTGAATGAGGCAATTCTGTTTTTTTTGTTTATATAAAATATTATAATTACAACCAAGTCTAAAAGTTATCGTCATGTAACACTTGGTAATATTGATATGAAATTAAATACAGACATCATAAAAAAAATAATTATAGAATTTAATAAAAAAATTGTTGGCATCCACGAAAAATAGTTCCACTACATTGGTAAAAATAGAACATT